GATAACTAACATGACACTCATAAAACAAAACACTAATGCACCTCTATGCATTAGCATCAGTAGTAACACGTTCTTTAGGTTTCTGATGAGTTAAGGAATAAATTCTTGGTCGAATGTTCTGTTTTGGTTGCTCCTGATGAGTCATAGTATCAGTTTTTGTTATCCTCTGTTGACCACTTCTAAGAATGGATCTCTCATGAAATTCTTCCGAGTTGAATCCCTTCTTGAGTTAGCATTCGGTGTGGATCTTTGAGCAGAATTAGGGCAGTTTCTCATATGATGTCCATGCTATTTTCTTCTCATTAGACTCTACAGAATGAACTGTTGGTGCCACTTCTGGGTCCGTTGAAAATTAATTTCCATTGGCCTTGCCTTATTCACTAGCACTGAATAAATTTAATTGTAATACCATGTCAGAAAGTATAGGCGGAAGAATAAAGGCCAAACTAAACCGATTAGCATGGAGAAGGAGCCTTGAGTGTGAGGAAGCAAACCGAGCTTTTACGAGCCTTTAAGGTAAGTAATCGAGTTTGTTTAATTTTGATTTCTTTTGTGAAAATTGAAATCATATTTAAGTATCAAATTGAAATTATATTAATTGTTGTCAGGTGTTAATGCGGGGGAATAAGTTTTTGAAGAGGTCTTTGTAGAGTTAAGATGAGTGGTTATAATCATAAAGTTCAGTAATTTTCATCATGTCTAAATGTATATTTAATTTCATTTATGTTCTAGTTCAATTAGATTTAAACTATAATAGATTTTTCATATTATTAAATAGGAAAATATGCATGTTAACTAGTTGCACAATGATTTTTTTTTTTAAATTATTAGATTATTAAATGATATTTAAATTATAGTATATGTGCAGATATATGTAGATTTTTACGTGACATGTAAATTCTAGTATAGATGCTTGTATCAATTTATTTTATGACCAATAGATTTAGTAAGAGTGTATTTAATCATTAATAAAGAAATATAATGTGTCTCGTAAGAAAAAAATGTATGTTATGAAAAATAAAAGTGTGTATATATGAATGATTGTATGTACATGCTAAGAAGTGGAGTTTACCCCCTTATGGTATAGGTAGAAGACGCCAATGTACCTGTGCGCGTAGATGTTATCCTAGCACCTTAGATAATTTTGATGTTTAGATAGTTAATCGCTGTGCTTATGCGAGAATATCAGCTAAGAGCGAGTAGACACATTTCCACCTTAGACAATCGTGTAATTTAAATCATAAACTTTTGCCCCGACAGGATAATATCCGCCAGAAGTGTGTTAGGTTATGTATTGACGATGCTCCTAAAACATTTATGAAAGTTAAGATTATGAAGTATATTAAATTTTAAGAGATTACACTTTGAGAAGTAAAATAAAAGAAAATACATGTAGAAGTTTTATTTTTTTATCCTTGAGCAAACATCATGACCATATGCTATAACTTTATATATGATTTTCTATAATATATTAGGAGATACCAACATACAAATTGTTTTTTTTCTTTAGTTACTGTAGTTTATAAATGTGATTACTACTCTGAGTTATCTTAGATAACTCATTATGCTATTTTTATTTTTTTTAGATTTATGTTTTTGAATAAGATAAATGATATAGAAGATAATGTTTACAGAAAGTTAGAACACCGACTAGAAATGTAACTTTTTATTTGGTCAATTTAATTGCTTCATTTAGTAACTTTTTAAATTAATATGTGAATTCTAAATTATCAGTGATAGAAATAGACTAATAGAAAATTTAATTTTGTCATTTGACTATCAGTTCCCATCTTAGTTAATTCTAAGCCCCTAGTCTGATCGTGATTCTCTCTTTTTAGGTATAGATTCCGTTAGTTTTAAATTAAGATTGAAGTTCTCTAATTCTCCCTCTAACAGCAATTCAACTCCTTAAAGTTGAGCGTAAAAAAGGAAATAAAAAGGAACTCCTTAAAAGTCTTTGCAACCCCGAAGAAATCAATACAATATTATTATTAAATAATATCCTGAATTTTAACATGTTTCATATGTGTAATAAATGACATTTTTTTCTTACTTTATAACCATTACATGTTTTAGGCAACCTTTTTAATCTTAAGTCTATAAAAAGAGTGCTAGTCTTTTATTCAGGATGATTAGATGATAAAAAGAATTCAAATTTTCTACTTATGACTTTGCCACCCTCTCCTTAAAACGTTCATTCTAACTTATTTACTTCTTTATTCTCTGTATTTACAAACACTTCTCTTAAGAATTCTTCTAACCATCAATGCACTTTTTTGTTTTTAATTTATAGGAATAATAGGAATCATAGTCATCGTTATGTTTATGGGTGATCAGACATGGAAGGAAAAGATCGGGTCTACAAGTACAGTCTTTATGAGGTGCAAGTTTATGTTGATTCCTTTACTTTATAATAATATTTGATGACTTCAAAATTGAGAAACGATCAATTTTTTCATCAAAAACTATTGTCATCTCCTTATAAACACTCATTCACCTATCAAGGCAAATCTGCTCTCATCTTCCTTAAAGGCAAGAACTTTGAGCTTTCTTTGTTTTTCTATTGATGGCAACTTCCTTTTGGAATGTTCCAAAATAGAGATTATCTGCAGTGTTTCATTCGAATTACAATTGGTTGGCTTCTTTTTTGTTTGGCTTACTGACCCCTATCATTTTATTATTAAACCGTCTTTAGAAGCAGACAAAATCAGGCTTTTTTCCCAACTTGCCTATTATAATAGTGGTTTCTTAACAAGTACGCTAAAATGTTCGCCATATTTGACTCTTCCAGGGAACCACCAAGCATTCCCTTTTCAACCACTTTATTCTATATTCGTTGGGTTTAATATTTGACAAATCTTTGCATGGAAATAATATTTTTGCTAGTCTATGTAAACCTTATGACTCAATTCTTGGTTGAACTATACGTTACGTCTCATTTAGAAAGAGAGGCGTAGATTGGCTTTTAAACTTGTGGAAATTAGATAAGGTTGGATTGAAAGGCATCCCACATATTGGTCTTCCTACAAAAATTCTTGATATAATTTCCTTGAATGCGTTAAGGCTCTTCCAAAATTGAAGAAATCTAATTATTAGGTACAAGTGGTATCATCAAATGATTAGATTTAACTTGCTGTGAATTTTTAAATTAATCTGCAATTAGGACTTGGAACTGATTTTGTTCTCTGGGATTAAATGCTTTTGTGCCTGCACCTGTCAGCCATATGATGATGGTCACATTGACGCCCACACGCATTACTATTGATGTGTTGATTCACTTACTATAGCGACTCTTTATTTTCCTTCAATTTATGAACACAACAATCATCATGATGCTCTGCAAACTTGTGATTTTGATAAGAGTGCTCAGAGTGTTGACTCTCCGGTGGGAAGAGTTTCAAATTTCAAATTCTATTTATCAAACAAGATAAAAATCAGAAAAAAGAAATTTATCTTCACTCCTCTTTTTTCACCGTACTTCAAGCAAGGAGATCTAAATCAGCCATTTTGTGGTTTTCATATTTCTAGAGATTTAGTTTCATTGGCTATCATGCTATCTTCGCCTTACATGTGTATTTTCTTTTTTTCTCTCTATCAATTCTTATTACTTGCCCTTTATGTTCATATTTTTCTTGTTATAATAGGTCAGTTTCAAAAGCAAATTGAAATTGAGCAACAAAGTTTTTTCTTCTAAAATAATTTATTACAAGAACTTTGCAGTTGAAATGCTCAGTGAGGCCCCTACTTCAAGTCTTTAGTAGTGATTGGGAAAAGAGGAAGGGTGATGAGGTTCTATGGCTAGGTGGATCAGCGACAGGCTGCAATTGCCTCTATCTTTGCTGGCAAGTAGGATAGTTTTTTTAACAGAGGCGGTTATTGGTGAGCTTCAGAGCAGTTATGCTAAATATTTTCAAAGATATGCAAATGTAGTCAAGCCTTTACCTGGTGAAGGGGCATAGGAGTCGTCGGCGAGGGATGTGCAAGTTTAGAATGTGCAAAAATCAGAGGGATGCGATGTGCAGTTATTATTGTGAAAGGTGGGATACTGATTATATCATTTTCAGGCAATGGAGAAGTACCGGGATTGGTAATTTCTGTATAGAGGATGAATGAAGCCGATGTTTTGTGTGGAAATGATGGAGCAAATGAAAGATATATATGAGTCACAATTCATATGAGGAAGTTGTCTGCACTCTGTTCAAAGTTGCATGAATGAGTATGTGCGACTAGCAGATCCATGAATGTTGTGGTTGCTTGTAACATTTGATGGAGGGGTCATTGAAGCAGGTTTTTTGGGGAGAATACAAGCTTTGAGATTTTTAAATCGCATTCAATGCCAGATCACCAATATCAGATGTAGGTGGGTTGTGGAATTTATCAGTTTAATACAAAAAAACAAAAGATAAAATCTCACTCTAATTCCAGAGCTGATTGCTGAGGAATAAGAAGTTTGCATGGATGTTAAATGGGAGCAAATGTATATACTTCTTTCTCAAGAGCACTCGATTGATCCCACAAAACCATTTTAATTCCTTAAAAATCTATTCTAAACATACCAGCCATTAATCCTTATTTATAGAAATAGGGTTACAATAGTGAAGGAAAACAAAATTTTGTCCTAAACCAAGTTCAAGCATGATATTATTTCGAAAGAATATAATTCAACCTAATAAAATGAATCAAATGAAGTGCACAAAAATTCGGTCAAAAATAAAAAAGAGTGTATAAGGCATGAAATTGAAACAGTTCAACTTCGCTGCAACTAATTTTGGCTGTTTTATGAAAAAACAGTATTTTTTCGCCTAAACTAACTGATTTATATCATGTTCTGGCCCAAACATTCATCTTTATGAAAGCTATGCGTTTTCAACTGCATCAGATGATACCTTCTGAAGTTACCTATGCTTAAGTGGCTCTAAAGTGATGATTCTATATTCTTTTGTAATTTATAGAATTTTGTTTTGCTTGTAAATGTCTGATTATTTCTTATTTTATCTTAGCGTGCCATTCAAACTGTTACAGTGGACCATCACAATCCTGGAGGAGGCCATTGGTTAGCCGCTGGACTATCTCCACAGGTCGGTTAGCAAGTGCTTTTGATTCAGGTTCAATTTATTAACATATGACATAATGGCAAAAGATTGAATATTATGCATCTTTCTTGTTGTAATTTTTTTACATTTTTATTTTGATTTGAAAGTTGAGCTGACTTTGCAGGTCCAAAATGTGAACAGATGTTTTGGTCAGAACAGTCCTCAATTTCAGATGGTGTCTTTATCCCATGGAGGTAGTTATGGTAGCATGGGAAGTCATGGCAGCCTCATCGATAACTTTGGTATTGGAAGTAGCTATGGAAGCTACGGAGATGTTAATAATAATATGCAAACATATTTCTCTCCTGTTGGCCCATATGGTATGAATATTCAAGCTCAAGTCGGAGTACCAATTTTAGGTACTAGTCCAGATACTCGGCGTAGACCTCAGAGATCTCATGGTCATGGAACTTTATTTGGCATTTCTCCTACTGGAAATCTTGGGCCAATGTCTCTAGGAGCGAGTCCTTCCCAATTTACACCTCCATGTTCCCAAGTGCAGATTACAACTGTTTCTCCAGGAAAGTATGGTTCTTCTCCTGCACGAGGCAGCCTTCATGGTTCCCCCTTGGGAAAAGCCGCAGCTGTTGCCCAATTTAACCGGAGGAGGGCCTCTGGAAACCCTGGGAGTTCAACTATGCAGCTTTGTGAAAGCACCGCTCAACATTGGCAAGGCTATCATAATGAGGGAACTGTTAGTGGCCAGCCTGATGCTTTTTCTCATGTTCAATTTTCTTCTCGAAGCTCATATCCATCTTTGAATCACTCTTATTGGAGCCAACAAATGAATAGTGGTAGGGGATCAGGACCAGCTATAAACAGCCATCATGCCCATCCTATTCATAGCAGTCTCAACCCACCGCCGTCACATTCCTCTATTGCTTCTGGTGACAAACCTGAAAGCAGTTCATTGCTTCCTGACCCTGCAGATTGGTTTCCCTATTATAGGTATCTAAAAACTTTTGTGGTTTTTCATTTATATTAAGTAAATGTTTTTGCAATGACAACTATAACATGCTAGTTCTTGTTGGCAGTAACCGACTTATATACTTTGATAGGAAGGATTTTATTTTTTTCACTTAGAATATCTTTTAATATTTATTTGTGTTCGTTAGTAGATATTTCCTATTTTTTTATTTTCCTAATTTATGGACTATTATGTCGGCCACTCTATTACATATAATAGGATTTAATTTGCTATTGGGAGAGAAATAAAAATCTTTCTCAGAATTTTTTCATGATATTGGAGCAAAACCTAATTCTTTCGAGTTTGTGGCCGCAACCTAGTTCCTCGCTAACAACGATGACGGATCCATAGGATTCTCCGACACCAACATTAATCGCGATCGCAGCATACAGAGGCCTGTGTAACTCCCATCGTCACTCTCTGCATCGATGGGATCACAACATATAATGGCTGGATTGCAACATACGAAGACCTCCATCTTCATCTCTATCGTATGCATGAATCGCAGAACTTCCTTTCTCGTCTCCTCTGTTGCTCTTGTATGCTCGAGCTGCAGCAATATCGCAGTAGTCGTACTTTCTGAGATCGATTTGGCTACTACCAATTTTTGTCGATCGTTTGAACGTTTTGTTCAATTTTCGTAATCTGTTCTATATCGACAATTATGATTGGTTTGGCTTGTCCTAGCCGCCCTCTCACAAGTCACCTTGTGTCGAACTCATGAAAATCGAGAGTTGTGCACCTTCCTCTAATATTCGTTTGTCCAACCAAATAGTTGAACTAAGGATCCTCCTTCCTCTAGTTTATGTTATGCTCCCAATCAAGCAGTCGAACTAAGGGAGGTTTTCTCGATTTTGTTCGTGCAACAAACTTTCTTGATTCGGGCTTTCACAATCTCATCATGGTCTAACACGACATGGTTTTTCTTGGAGTCGCCTCCAGATCTGAGCCTACATATTTATTATCCAATGTATCTGACAACTCATCCCACCTAGTCATTAATCATAAACCACATTGCTACAATTTTTTCAATGATCAGAGTTTGGCTTCATGTACATTTGTGATAGAAGAAAAGATGGACATCTCACAAGCGAAATTTCGGCTCTAGAAATGACAATTTCTAAATACCGGGCTTGGAAAACTAACGATCACTTGGTTATATCATAGTTAATAAATTTTTTGAGCACGAAGAGTGGAGAAAATTTCTTGCTCTGTAGGCCAACAAAGAAAATATGGGAGGCACATGAAAGCTATTCTTGCTCTGACAATTTCTCATAGTTATTTGAGATTTAGACCAGACCACATCATCTACAACAAGGAGAATTAATTGTTACTCAATATTTCAACACTCTCACGCATTGTTGGTTGCAACTAGATATGTACGTGGTTTTTTTTGGAATGGCATGATGATTTTGCCTTGTATAGGAAGATTAATGAACAAAAGAGGACAATAGAATTTCTTATCACTCTCAATAAAGACTTGGATAAAAGTCAAGGGGAGAATCATGAGAATTAAATCTCTTGCTATCATCCAAGAGGCATTTGCAGATGTTCGAATAGACAAAAGTAATGAATAGAGTTTTGAAGGGTCGCCATTGTGTACTCACGACTCCTTTCAAAATAATAAGCTTAGGAAAGGATGGTCGTGGTACAATCATTGTAAGAAATCTGGTGATGTGAAGGAAACATGTTGGAAATTAACGGAAAACCTACAGATTAGAAGTTGTCCAAAGGAAGACATGATAGGGAGAACTGTGCAAATACTACTATTAAAACCAAAAATAATGCAGAATTTAGTCCATTTACATGGGAGCAATTTGAAGGCACTATAGGAAATGTTGGGTCATGGTTACAATTTCATACAAGCATCACAATTCTCTACTAAGCAACCTACTAGATTGTTAGCACTTCAAGATATATTAGCCGTGCTCATATTGTTCAAATCAATTAACGAAAACATTGGATATTTGAGCTTGGAGCTTCAAATCATATGAAGAAAGACATCAACATCTTCAAAAGTTACAACACCAGTCACTCTACAGTTTGAGTAATTGACGATTCATTATCACCAAAAGTAGTGAATAGAATTTTGAGATACTTGAAGATGACTCCTGGATATGGATTGCTCTTCAAAAAGTTGAAAAATGTAATATTGAAATATATATATATATATATATACATGTATAGATGCTATTTGGGCAGGAGATGATAAGAAATCAATCATTGGCTATTGTTCATACGTCTGGGAGAATGTCATCACTTGGAGAAGCTAGAAACAAGCCATGCTCTTTCACAAGGAATATGTGAAAGAATGTGGCTTCAAAGACTATTAAAGCAATTTAAGGTTAAGACAAAAGACAAAATAAAACTAAGATGCTCAGTGATAGTCAAACAACTATTAATATAGAAAACAATCATATGCATCATGGCATAACAAAACACGTCGAGATTGACCGACATTTCATCTCAAAAAAGGTCAACAACGGAATTGTTCAGCTAGGTCATGTACCAACAAAACTTCAGATTGCTGATATTCTCATCAAAGCAATATCAAGTGTCTGTCATGATACATTAAATTTCAAGCTTGACTTGTATGGTATATACAAACCAGCTTGAGATGGAGTATTGGAAGTAACTGACCTATATACTCTAATAGGAAACATTTTATTTTCTTCGCTCAAAATATCCTTTAATATTTATCTGTTTTTGTTACTTGATATTTCTAATTTTTCTAAGTTCCTAATTCGTTGAACTGATATGCCCGTCACTCTATTACCATAATAGGATGTAATTTGTTAATGAGAAAGAAATAGAATTTTTTTCAAAATTTTAATTAGTTCTTAGCTTAAATTTTTCTATTGTTTATGCAACATAGCTATCGGTAAAAGTAGAGCTTGCTGGCAATTCTAGCTTGAGAAGCAAATGCCATTCTTCATTTACTGTGGTCTTAATTTTCATCTATAAAAACAACAAGCTTTTATTCCACTAAGTGGGGCTGGCTACATGAATCCTTTTTCTCCATTGTGCTCTATTGAGTGTCATATGTTATTTAATTTTCATCTGTTTTTACTAAATTTTGTTTCGTTATTTTGGATTGAATTCAAACAATTGGACTTAATGAGAGTATTCTTTAGATTCTTATTGTTCTTTCTTCAACCTTTGTTTCTTTGAAAAATGTTGAGTTCTTATCATATACACAGTCGAACACCATATTGTTCCTAGATGGTTATTGATGGTATCATCCATTCTGTAGATATTATAGTTTACTTCAAATAATGATATTAATTAATGCATGTTTTCTCTTCAACATCACTAATTTCTTGCTTCATCTGTTTTCTAATACCAAAGCAGAGAAATAACCTAAAAGCTGAATACCCCTTCTAGATAAATACCTTATTTTAACTTATAAGAAATTTATAGATTATATTGAGTGAACTATGCGAAAATATATTTCCTTTGAAAATCCACAAATATGGCTGTGAGTTTGGCTGAGTTTCTCTTTGGTATATGCCATTTATTCACAAGACCATGAATGTGCTGCCTGGATTTGTAGCAATTGTTAGGTTGCCTTTATTTTGACCTAGAGGAAACCTAGAGGGCATAAAGTTCAAATACGGAAACAACCTCTTTGTAATATAGAGGTAAGTTTGCATAGCTGAACCTAGTTCCAAATCCTGCATTGATAAGCTTGCTAGGTACACTCTTTAGTTGGCCTCCAATTCTTCTAACCGGGTAACATCTAGCTAAAAAGAAATGTGTTTATTTACTTTCATTTTTAAAAAATAGTGGAAAAATATTAGAGGGCTTATTCTTATTGATACATAGAGGGGTATAAATACTCATTACATGACTTATTGGTAAGGAAAACAATAAAAACATAATACAGTAGGTAAGGAAAGAAATAATAACAAATATAATAGGCAGCTAATCTCTCTAATTAAGGAGACAAAATAAAAAGACATTCCTAAGATCCCTCATATAATTTATAACCCTTTAAATATAGAGTTATAAATATGGAATATAATCATGGTACACAATCACAATTATTGACGAGATCTTTCAACACTCCCCTTCAAGCTAGCATGAAGATGTCACTCATGGCAAGCTTGCTAACTAGATTCTCGTGTTGCACTTTGGAAAGGCCTTTTGTTAGAATATTCGTTGTTTGGCTAGCAGTTGGTATTTAGGACATACATATCACACCACTATTTATCTTCTCCTCAAGGAAATGTTTGTCAACTTCTACATGTTTTGTTCTATCATGTAGAACTGAATTATGAGCTATAGAGATTATAGCCTTGTTGTCGCAGTAAATTTTAATAGGTGCTTGTATAGGAATCTTCAACTCTTCCAGGAGTATTTTTATCCATAATACTTCACAGAGTCCATGAACCACCGAGCGGAATTCTGCTTCAGCACTACTTCTTGCTACCACGTTTTGTTTTTTACTTTTCCAAGTAACCAGATTTTCGCCTACAAAGGTACAATAACCTGATGTGGATCTTCTGTCATAAAGTCCTTTTCCAAGAGTTCTTTTGAGATATCTCAAAATTTGGAATACAGCTTCGAAGTGAGTAGGTCCAGGTGAATGCATGAATTGACTCACAACACTTACAACAAAGGCTATGTCAGGTCGAGTGTGAGCCAAATAGATTAGTCGTCCTGCCAATTTTTTATAACGTTCTTTGTCCATTACCTCATTTGTTGATGCTATTTTCAATTTTATATTATGTTCTATTGGTGTATCTGCTACCTTGCAACCTATCATTCTTGTTTCTTTGAGTAAATCAAGTACATACTTGTGTTGATTGACAAAAATTCTCTCCTTGGATCTTGCAAACTCCATTCCGAGGAAATATTTCAGCTTTCCCAAATTTCAGCGGAAATATTTCAGCTTTCCCAAGTCTTTAATATCAAATTCAGTTTCAAGCTTCCTCTTCAGGTTGCTAATCTCCAGAAGATCATCCCCTGTCATGATTAT